TGGTAACTAGCATAACATGTCAGAAAGCAAGTGCATTTATATAGTAGTATTCACCATGGTTAAGACATCTAGGCCTAACTATGAGTGCCAGGAGACAGATTATTAACGGGGTATTCATTTCATTATTTGGCAACCAGTGCTTGACAAGGACAGGTTCTACAGCCCATATACGTAAGATCAAAGGCTGCAAAATGAAAGTGCCTGACAAACCGTTACTTGTGTTAAATTTATAGAAACATGTGTGGAAGGGAGTCACATATATACATTACACCAACGAAAAGGAACAAAAACACAGTTCAGACGGACAGGGGAAATAGTCTATGAGAGAGTAATGTGGAAGGGGGGGGGGGTGGTAGGGTGTAAGGGGCAAATGTAAACAAAGCGTCCACTCTTCCAGCTTGTTCTGTCTGTAAGGTGGTATTGAAAGTAAGTTTAAACTCACCGGAGCATCACACCGGGCAGTAGACACCCGGTGATACCAAGTGTCACCCTGCGGATGAGGATCGCTCGTCGAGGTCCCAGAAACCGCGTGTAACAGTCGGGCTTTCTTGCGGCCATCGGCAAAAGCCAGTGTAGGGCTTCAGGTTAAAGAAACATGTCGTCCCACATTGGGACAAAATATAATCACAGACATTTTAGAATTAGAAACATTCACAGCGCATGAGGGTTATGGAAAGGAAGAGTAAAAAAGGCATCTGCGGTGTGTGTATTTTGTTCAGTGTTCTTTACATGTGTTGCCGTTTGTTAGTATTCAGTGTTGCAAGCGTGTGTGTGACATTGCGAACAAAAAAAAAAAAATAAAAAAAAATAAATAAAAAAAAAAAAAAAATAGGAAAATAGAAGGGGACGAAAACATAACTTGTTATCTGTTGTCTTAGTTTCAGTTCCTGCACCGACTGCCGACAGTTACGTTCTGGTGACGGGCGGGGCCGGATACATCGGCAGTCACACGGTGATAGAGTTGCTGAACAACAACTACAATGTCGTGGTGGTAGACAATTTAGTCAACGCCAGCATGGGTAGGTTTTCGTGTGCCCTGTCTGTGGGTCTCTGTGTGTGTGTGTGTGTGTGTGTGTGAGAGAGAGAGAGAGAGAGAGAGAGAGAGAGAGAGAGAGAGAGAGAGAGAGAGAGTTCGACATCATAGTCAGTACCATGGTTGGTAGGTGTTTGTGTCCCTTGTCTGGAGTGTATGTGTGTGATAAACATCTTAGTCAATGCCAACATGATAAGGTATCTGTTGGTGTCCTTGTATGTGTATCCATATGTATGTATATATATATATATATATATATATATATATATATATATATATATATATATATATATATATAGGTTTGTGTGTGTGTGTGTGTGATAGACAACTTAGTCAACATTAGCAGGTGTCTATGTTCCTCTGTGTGTGTCTATGTGCGCGCGCGTGTGTGTGCGTGCGTTTGTATGAGTATGTGGGTGTCAAGGACCTTGTATCTATGCTACTTAACTACAGCTCGTTGTACAGCCCTGTGACAGACACACTATACTAGAACACACTTAAAACACACACCTATTGAGTACACACATAATCTTTAATGCACAAAGAGACTTTCACCTAAAGCAACCTCAACAGTTATGGACAGTCTCTAATCCGAAACGCCAGCAGTGGCAGCATTTATATTTAATTATCCACCCCGAGACGTTCCCAGAGTGTACCAGAGGACTCGATTTCACCTCCTGTCGTACAGCGCTAACTAGGCTGCGGTCCTCGCCATGCGAGACTCAGTGGCACACGCTGGACGAGTGGTTCAAGTATTAGCGGGCAGTGTCAACGCCAGCACAAAACGCAGCTTAACTCTAATAACCCATAGACAAGATCAACTACTTATGCACGACACAACACTAACACAACATTCTTAGCATACTATAAGCACACGAGGAATACCGACAGCTAACCAACACATATGACGACAACGCTAACAGTGCCTATCTTTCAACTCCTAACACCATACAATATAACACGTCTCTATATGTCTTCAGCCTCACACGTCCATCTCCAACCGCTCTCCTTCTCCTCCCGTTCAGCTTCAGGTAAAACGTGTATGTGGTACCAGTGTTTAAGCCATCTCGGGTTTTTCCCCATTTCGTCAATTCAGCTGGTGCACCTTTTGGTCCGTCAAACACAAACATATGAAGTTACAGGTCTTGTCGTCTATACCCTTCCCACAGGGCTATGATAGTGGGGGGGGGGGTGTATATGTGTGTGTGTGTGTGTGTGTGTGTGAAACGGACAACTGAGTCAGAGTAAGCATCAATAAATTTAACCCCAACTATTGTCTGTGCTTGGGAAATACCGTGATGCAGTGGGTAAACGCTCGTTCTGCAGATCCGAAAGGTCATCTGTTCGCATCTGAATGCAGCTAGGCATTTGTCAGAAATGACCTTGGCTCCCAGATCGACCCAGTCTTTAATTTGTACCAGGCAGTGTCTTGGAAAGTAAAGGCAGCTGGTGTGATGTTTAGGGGCTGGAGGTCCCGGGTTCAGGCCCCAGTGAAGGCTGGGATTATTCACGTGGACTTCTAGGTAATTTCTCCTGGTCTCTGGGTAGTAAGATCGGACGCCCGTGTGTACTGCGGCGCACATACAAAATCTATTGGCAGTTGGAAATATAAAAGAGTAGCCCAACGGCACTGCCCAGGCAGAATTTAGAGTTGAATATTTACCCAAAGTATTTCAGGATCCTCGCCGGTGCTATGAAGTTCGTGCACTGTGCTGAGATTCTTCGGACTTAGGTTTCAGTCAGGAGTAGAACGGAGCACTAGTGGGTTATCCCTTGTGCCATGATGTTGATCCATCATCTAACCCTAAACCTGACTGACTTTCTACCCCACTAGGACATCACACAAGCGATAAACACCCGATGACACAAAGTGCCACCATGTGGATGAGGATCACCGTGGAGAGGTCCCAGAATTTTTTTTTTTTTTTTTTTTTTTGAAACGCTTGGTTGCGTGTATTAGAATAAAACTATGTACACATACTGCGATATTCACTTTTTTAAAAAAAATCCTGTGCCACCAGTGACATCATTTGCTTTACACTTGACCCATTCATGATATTAATTTTAAAAAGAGGTCCCAGAAACCGCTTTCAGACAATTGGTCATATTGATGGCCTGCCTATATTGCGGCCCCTGGCAAAAGCCAGAGTGGGGCTTCAAATAACAAAAAATTAGGTCCTAAAAAGGACATAAAGAATATACATTAACCTAAACCTGACTGACTGACTTTCTACCACACCAGGACATCACACAAGCGATAAACACCCGATGACACAAAGTGCCACCATGTGGATGAGGACCGCCGTGGAGAGGTCCCAGAAACCACGTTGAGACAATTGGTCATATTGATGGCCTGCCTATATTGCGGCCCCTGGCAAAAGCCAGAGTGGGGCTTCAAATAACAAAAAATTACGTCCTAAAAAGGACACAAGGAATATACATTAACCTAAACCTAAAACCAGTGTGATGTTTACCACATCACCTACCAAGTGCCGATTGGTCTATAAAATATAGGTCTAGCCCTATATGCCCAATTCGTCTGAAGGCATTACAACTTCATTTATTTCCCCTTGTCTCTTCACTTTTTTCCCCCTTGTCTCTTCGCTTTATATTTTTCCCCTTGTCTCTTCGCTTTTTTTCCATTTGTCTCTTCACTTTATTTTGTTTCCCTTGTCTCTTTGCCTTATTTTTCCCCCTTGTCTCTTTACTTTATTGTTTCCCCTTGTCTCTTTACTTTATTGTTTCCCCTTGTCTCTTTACTTTACTTTTCCCCTTAACAGTTTGCTTGATTGTTCCCCCTTGTCTCTTTACTTTATTGTTTCCCCTTGTCTCTTTACTTTATTGTTTCCCCTTGTCTCTTTACTTTATTGTTTCCCCTTGTCTCTTTACTTTATTGTTTCCCCTTGTCTCTTTGCTTTACTTTCCCCTTGTCTCTTTACTTTATTGTTTCCCCTTGTCTGTTTGCTTGATTGTTCCCCCTTGTCTCTTTACTTTATTGTTTCCCCTTGTCTCTTTACTTTACTTTTCCCCTTAACTGTTTGCTTGATTGTTCCCCCTTGTCTCTTTACTTTATTGTTTCCCCTTGTCTCTTTACTTTATTGTTTCCCCTTGTCTCTTTACTTTATTGTTTCCCCTTGTCTCTTTACTTTATTGTTTCCCCTTGTCTCTTTGCTTTACTTTCCCCTTGTCTCTTTACTTTATTGTTTCCCCTTGTCTGTTTGCTTGATTGTTCCCCCTTGTCTCTTTACTTTATTGTTTCCCCTTGTCTCTTTACTTTATTGTTTCCCCTTGTCTGTTTGCTTGATTGTTTCCCCTTGTCTCTTTACTTTATTGTTTCCCCTTGTCTCTTTACTTTATTGTTTCCCCTTGTCTGTTTGCTTGATTGTTCCCCCTTGTCTCTTTACTTTATTGTTCCCCCTTGTCTCTTTACTTTATTGTTTCCCCTTGTCTGTTTGCTTGATTGTTTCCCCTTGTCTCTTTACTTTACTTTTCCCCTTAACTGTTTGCTTGATTGTTCCCCCTTGTCTCTTTACTTTATTGTTTCCCCTTGTCTCTTTACTTTATTGTTTCCCCTTGTCTCTTTACTTTATTGTTTCCCCTTGTCTCTTTACTTTATTGTTTCCTCTTGTCTCTTTGCTTTACTTTCCCCTTGTCTCTTTACTTTATTGTTTCCCCTTGTCTGTTTGCTTTACTTTCCCCTTGTCTCTTTACTTTATTGTTTCCCCTTGTCTGTTTGCTTTACTTTCCCCTTGTCTCTTTACTTTATTGTTTCCCCTTGTCTCTTTACTTTATTGTTTCCCCTTGTCTCTTTGCTTTACTTTCCCCTTGTCTCTTTACTTTATTGTTTCCCCTTGTCTGTTTGCTTGATTGTTTCCCCTTGTCTCTTTGCTTTACTTTCCCCTTGTCTCTTTACTTTATTGTTTCCCCTTATCTGTTTGCTTGATTGTTTCCCCTTGTCTCTTCACAGCAAGTATCAACAGAGTGGAGGAGATCACGGGGACAAAAGTGCCCTCTTACACTCTGGACTTGTTGGACAAGAGTGCCCTAAGAGACATCTTCCAGAAGGTAGTTAGTTTCTTTGTGTTGCATTTCTGGTAGTGAGTCACCAGTCGGTTGAATGTTGAATTAGAAATCGACATCACAGCACTCGGGACACCCCATAAGCGCTCCGTCCCCATCTTCAGCAGGGTACCAGTAACTGTCTGTGTATCCATCTCGCCTTTCCCTTGAGTGCGAACAAGATCACCTTGTAACTGATCGCAGCGCCATTCTCTTCAGACCGTAATGATCTATCTGTGCCTCGGCACTAGTCACTGGCTCCCAAAAGGCCCTCACAACATCCAGCTTGTCATACATCAGTTCACCACCAAGTGGTGCAGAACTGGCCAGTCTATCTGCCTGCTCAATTCCCAACACACCGGCATGACCGGGAGAAAATATCCAAAGGATGCTACCACCAGTCTTTGGTTGGGTTTGTTTGATGGTGACTTTCCGTCTTTCCAAACTGTAGAGTTTCATTGAGAATAGGGGCTTTTGAGCTGAAATGCTATAGAAAGATTCTCAGAATATCTTGGACAAAGAAGAGGAGAAATACTGACATCTTGAAAGATCTGAACATCAAGGAAGATTGGGTAATAAACATCATCCTGTCTCGGAAGCTGAATTATGTTCGTCACATCAAGCGTGGATTGGAAAAATAATAGCAGAAGGCATGGTACCAGGAAGGAGGGGCAGAGGCCGACCAGCACAAAGATGGGCACAGGATATAAGTGACTCTTTGAGAAAGAAAGTACACAAAGCGGGAGAACTGGCGAGAGACTGGGTTTCTTTCAGGCAGACTGTGATGAGAGCGACGTTCTGCAAAAGACCTGCTACATGATGATGATGAGTTTCATTAACCTCATCACAGCAAAAGAAACTGAAGCATTTGAACATTTTAGAGTTGAAATAATAACAACCATTTTTGATTACATTTATTATTGTGTGTAGGTCCCAACTACCTATTAAAATCTGTAATGGTTACTGTGCCATTTTTAAATGTGAAGGCCATCGATGGAGCCTCGTTAGCGCTTTCCATAGGAGACTCGCTTTCAAATGCAGCTGTGACTCGCTGCAGCCCACGGTTGGTGTTCAAAACCGGACGGTTCCCCCAGCCTCTAGGAAATGGGTACCAGAATTTACCACTCTGGGATAAATGGAGGAACGTCGCTGTAGCTACGGAGTTGCATGCGGCCGGCGACACAGGAGAACAGTTACTTATCAGCTGTCCGTACTGGTGGCGAAGCTCTTATGGTTTATAACCGTGTGCAGTGACGCTGGTTCACATCTCCTGACTTTACCTTTTTTACAATATGTCTTACACAAGAAGATAAGTCAGTTAAATTACTTTGTGTATTTTTGTTCATACTTGTGGTATTTTAGATTTATGCTGATAAAGGCGATCTAGAAATTACAAACACTTGTCGTTTGTGATATTGTGAAACTAACTGGTTCTACTTTCTATTTGGTTTGATATCTTTTCATGATTTTATAGAAGAAAAGGAAAAAGAAGAAAAAACGTAGTAGAAGAAGAAAAATTACATTCAGCCAAGATGAATGAGAATGTTGATGTTCTTATTTCACTCCTGCATAACAATGTCATGATTTCACATTAAAAAGTCACTTTATATGTCCACGTCAAGGGAGTTTATGGGCACTAAATTTTTTTAACGCTTTTATTATCAAAATATTGATTGTAGTTATCATTATGTAAAAGCTGTTAAATATTGTTATGTGCCTTTGTTCTCAAATAAACATTTAATGTACAGCTAATTTTTTTTTTTTTTAAATAAGCTATTAAGTTCTACTTTAAGTTATTTTGACACTGATATTGTTTTATGTGTTAGAGTTGTCTTCCACACTGGGACGCATTGTTTTTTGTTTTTGTTTAAATAAATAACAGTGACTCTGAGGTTGGCCCATTCTTAAATGGATACCACCAAATATAAAATTACTCTTCATGCATATTGGGCATTTAGGGCAAGACCTATATTTTACAGACCAATCTGCACTCAATGGATGATCAACATTACCCCGGCCACCTTTACTTTCCATGTTTTTACCTGGTACCTATTTAAGGCTGGGTCAAACTGGTAGCCAGGGTCATTTTTAAGAAGAAAAAGTGTGGCTCTGTCAAGATCGACGACCTTCGGATCCACAGGCGAGCATTTAACCACTACACCATGGAAATATCCTAGGAAGTAAATACGGCCAGCATGATGTTTATTAAATTATCCTTTGATTGCCAGCTGGTCTGTCAAATGTAAGTCAAACACAAAATGCCTTATGTGCCACAAGCACAAGTATGGTATTCTAATTTATTTCATTTTCATGTGGTTTACCTGGCTCCTTTGTAGGAAAAAGAATAGACCCACTGCCCTGGCATGCATGTCATAATGAGGTGTTTCCTTTAAAGTTAGCATGAGGCATTGAACCAACAGTCTGCATGCAAAAAAAGATAGATCTGTAAAACTGATGTGCATACAAAACTGGAACAAGACTAAAGACCAGAAGTGAACATACAACCAGAAAAAGATTTTATTCAAAGCAATGTTCTTCCTATTGTAAATTTCAATAATACTGACTGAAACAATGTATTTCACAAGTTGAGTTGAGTCAAGAATTTAACTCTTGGCATTTGGGGCACTCCAATGCATCCTCTGTCCTCATCTTCAGCAGCCAGCGCAGAGTTCCAATACCGATGGTACCGGTCACAATCTGGTTTTATGTCCATCTTGCCTTTCCTCTGAGCGTAGTGAGCTGGCCAGACCCTCTGGTTACACCCAGGTGCCTCATGCTCTCCAGCCCTTACTAATCTTCTTTCTCTACTGATTCCGTTGCTTGTTCCTAAGGGCCTTGACCACACCTGCCTTGTCATGTATCGATTCACCACCCAATGGCGCAGATCAACCTAATCTGACTGCCTGTTCATTACCCACCACTCCGGCATAGCCTGGAGAAAAGATCGACATTGCACAATTTATTGCCTAGCTTATTTCATAGGTGTTGTTACATCAGTTGGGGTTACAATGAGATATCAGTCAGTCAGTAGCAAATCCTTTGCAGAACCTTGCACCCATAACAACCCTCAAAATCTTCTCGATCACAAGCAATATGTCTTGCTTCAGATACAACCATCTAGAGACCATCCGCCACATCTACGATGAATTATACCAAGCAAAAATTGTGCAATGTATTGTTTGACTGCATTTTTCTTTTTAGTTGTCTTGTTTTAATGGATGTCTTTTTGAATGCAGCTCATCTCTATGTGGGTTCGGGACTCCGTTATGGTGGGAGAGGGTTGGATGGGGGGTGTAGATCAACTGCACTTAAACAGGCATACCATAAGTCAACTAATTAGGAGTGTTTCCTTTAGAGTCAGAGGGCATCTGCCTGAGAGGCAAGGAACCAACAGTCTGTATATAAATAAGCCAGATCTGTGAAGTGGATAAGCAAAACTCAAGTAGGACTAAGAGCCAGAAGTGGACAAACAACCAGAATTTTCCGCCAGAGTTTACAGCCAGTGAACATGAAGAAGAAGATGAACTCGGCTCTAGACTGTATGCCTGGGACCACACATAGATATAATTCAGATAGATGACAATGAACAGATGCTAGAACCAACAAGGTCTGAAAACTAATCGTGCTTTTTTAAGCATACCCTATTTTGTATACAAATAGCGTGGGTGTTTTGTGTGTGTGCGTGTGTGGGAGAGTGAGTATGTGAGTGAGTGTGTGGGTAGTGAGTGAGTGAATGAGTGTTTGAGCGTGTAAGTGAATGGGTGTGTGTGAGTGAATGAGTGTTTGAGCAAGTGAGTGAGTTAAATAGTGAGTGCTTTAGCAAATGAGTGCGTATGTGAGTGGGTGTGTGAGTGAGTGTTGAGCAAATTAATGTGTGAGTGAGTCATTGCGTGTGTGAGTAAGTGTTTGAGCAAATGAATGAGTGAGCAAATGAGTGAGTGAGTTTGTGAGTATTGAGTGTATGAGTCAGTGAGTGTTTAAGCAAATGAGTAAATGAGTGAGTGAGTGGCTGTGTGAGTGAGATAGTGTGTGAGCGTGTGTGAGTGTGCAAGTAAGTGAGTGAATGAGTGAGTAAATGAGTGAGCAAGCGAATGTGTGAGTGAGTGAGTGGGATGAAGAGACAGAAGAGCAGTACTAAGCTAAATACGGATGTCTAAATGGATATTTCAATACTGTGACATACTTTGAATGTTTTTGATATATTCCGGTATAGCATTTCTGATGTAACTAATGTCTATGAATGTTCCATCGTCTGTTTCAGTATAAAATCTCTGTTGTGATGCATTTTGCTGGACTGAAATCAGTTGGAGAATCTGTGGCATTACCTCTTCTCTATTACCACACAAATGTCGGAGGAACCATCAACTTACTAGAGGTGAATAAACGAGTTTGTTCTGTTGAAGAAAGCGACAGGAATATATTTTTTCTTCTTCTACAAGTGCCCTTAAAATTGTGGTTTGGCATGTTGCTTTGTGTTTTACAGCTAGGCTGCTTCTTCTTCTTCTTGGTCCAATTTAAGCCTTAGTCTTAATCCATTGCCTTTTAAGACATGCTTGTTAAGTGGCAGTGAGTCTATTTTTTTTAAAACTAGTAAAATGATATTCTAGAATTAACATAGGGAGCAATACATTTAATTATCAGATGCAACCTTATTACAGTACGTCTTGGTGAAATCCCATTCCGGAAAGAAGAAGAAAAAAGGTTCTTTATTAATATCCTACCTCATATGATGTCACAGGACAGTCCAACATTGTAGAGGGTGGTAAGACTGGGTTTCTGATGTTTTTAATGACCTCAAAACATCTAGAACTGCCCTAACCCCAACCCACGAGAGAGTGCAGCCTAGGTCCCACAACTGTATGCAGTCTATCTACCACCCCCTGAAATATTAGACTGTCCTGTGACCTGTGGATTTCCCATGTTTGAGGTAGGATATTAATAAAGCGGCCCCCCAAAACAAAAAAATATATATATATATTGTCTTCTTCTTCTTTTCTTCCTAGTGTTCACCAGCTGTGAACACCAGCAGACAAATCTGGTTGTTCATCCACTTCTGGATTTTATTCTTATTTCAGAACTTGAGCTTTTCATGCACATACAGATTTCACTTATTTATATGCAGAATGTTGATTCCTTCTCCTCGGGCAGATCCACATCAACTTTAATGGAAACACCCTTATTTAATCACTTCTTACGACATGCATACATGACAAGGCAGATATGGTTTGGAAACAAGCAACGGAATCAGTAGAGAAAGAAGATTATTATGGCTGGAGAGAATGAGGCACCTGGGTGTAACCAGAGGGTCTGGCCAGCTCACTACAGTCAGAGGAATGGCAAGACGGACATATAACCAGATTGTGACTGGTACCATCAGTACTGGAACTCAGCGTTGGCTGCTGAAGATGAGGATGGAGCATGCATGGGGATGCCCCGAGTGCTGTGATGTCAATTCTGGACTCAACTCATTCCTATGACATGCTTGGTGGGGGGGGGGGGGGGGGGGGGGGGGGGGGGGGGGGTGGGGGGGGGGGGGGGGGGGGGTGGGGGCTATTCTATTTTTTTGCTCTCTAAAACAGAACTATGGAACCTATACAGGAAGAGCTGTCAATCAGTTACTGAAAATAAGACCATACGTCTTAAATTAATTTTTGCTCCATAGGGCGCTTTATGGTTATTTTCAGACGAGGTCATTTTTCCTGTTATTAAATCCACATTTTTTTCAAGTAAGATGTATATACGTTATGTCACTCTCTTCTGGAACATCTTTGTAATTCAATACATCTGTCATATAGTTCAAAATGCAAATGAAATCCAGCTGTTTTACTTTTGAAGATATTAACTAGGGCTTGTATTTACAAGCATCCTGGAAGACAGGCAAAAGTTTATTTTCATATTATGTCTTACTGTTAGAGAAACATTTTCATAGGTAAACATGTTTGTCAAACACAATTCATATGTGTGATAAGGAGTTAACAAATAATATTAATAATAATTTGTAACATATTGATTTCGCAGGTCGACCCAGCCTAAAATGGGTACCAGGATGGGCTGTCCTGGGAAAGTAAAGACAGCCGGCGTAATGCTGACCACATTATCCACAGAGTGCTGATGGTCTGTAAAAATATGGGACGCTCTGCCCATATGCCCGATGCGACGAAAGGCGTGAAAAGGGAACTTTACTTTTTTTTTTTACTTAACATATTGATGTCGGCTCTGTGGCTAAGTCGGGCCTTGCGCCTTGCGTTAGTTTCGACAACGGTATCAAGAAAGCTGACCATCCAGAAAGCAATGGCAAACTACTGGACGTAAATTTGCCTAGTAAAACCACACAACAGCCAAGAGCTGTTGGGGTTGGTTCTGCAACGTCCTGTAAAGGATACACAACTAACTAACTAACATATTGATATCATCATTTTGATACACACACACACACACACAAACAGAAGTAACATGTACTTACAGAACACAATAAACTTACAACAAAATATAAACATTAAATAAAAACATGATTTCAAAGCATTTTTATTATTATTACTTTTTTTACCAGGTTATGAAAGAGTTTGCTGTTAAAAATATCATATTTTCAAGTTCTGCAAGTATATACGGACCACCCAGCTACCTGCCAGTGGACGAGGATCACCCTGTTGGCAACTGTACTAATGCCTACGGCAAAACCAAATTCTTTATTGAGGAGATTATTCGAGACCAGTGCAGTGCAGACAAAGTAAATCACTTTCTGTACATATTTCCAGTCTGGCATTTGTTAGCCGCAATTAGCCACATATGTTGTGTATTTACACATAATTGTGTGTATTTTTGTGCATAAATATTATTTCTCTGCTTATCTTCTTCATCACATTCACCAACTGTAAACTCTGACAGAAAGTCCTGGCTGTTTGTCCACTTCTAGCCATTAGTTTTCTTCCACAAGTTGGTTTTTGCATGCATATTTGTTAAACTCTCTTCTTCTTTGTGTTCTGTTTCATATGCTCAGATCAGACCATCATGTGGGATGCCTCTATGAACTCACATGTCAGCTGCAGGTCCTTCATGGTTCCCCATAGCTTGCTCTGCACACTTTGCTCTTGAGGCCAGATGTCTTTTCGAGGTTGCAGGTAGAGTGGGCAGGTCTGCAGAATGTGCTGAGGTGTTTGTGGTCCTGTTTGACAGGCACACTGGGGGGACTGTACAATCTTTATTTTATGCATGTGGTCCTTGACCCTTCAGTGTCCTGTTCGTAAGCGGACAATTGTTGTATGTTGCTTTCTGTTGAGTCTGCTGATGGGGTCTTGTGGATGATTACTGTTAGTTTGTTCTCTCCACAATCCCTTGTATTTTCCTTTGATAAGTGTTCTGATTTCTGGTAATGACAATGAATGGGCGTGTTGTTTCTCCTTTATTCCATTTTTTGCAAGTCTGTTTGCTAACTCATTTCCTGGTATGCCGCAGTGAGCCGGGATCCACTGGAGAACGATGTCATTGTTTTATTTATTAAACAGATCTGACCTATTTGTTTGCAGACGACTGGTTCCCTGCCTGTCAGCCAGATATACTCTGACTTGAAAGGAAACACACTAGTCTACTTTTATGACATACTTGTTGGGGTAGAGTGGGTCTATTCTTTTATCCCCAACATGGAGCAGGAAAAGGGTTTTTCCTTTTTATTTACACTTATTTGTTTGTACGCTTATGCAAAAATAGTATTTATCTGCTTATCTTCTTCTTCTGGCCTAAAATGGAGAATGAGGCATGGCGGAAAGATAAGCTTTTAATTTATTGTTGTATCGGACAGAGGTTTGCTAATGCAGTTTTCATATATGGACTGTAGTCCACGGTTTCACTGCTTGAGCTGCTGAGTTTAGTGCTTGGTGCAGCCCTATGAGTTGTGTTTTTTCCTGTGGAATGCCTTTCATTTGTTCAGCAGTTGTGTTGTGGGTCAATGTAGCTGGTTTATATGTGAGCTGGTGAAATACCTTATGTAATAATTCTACGTGTGTACAGTAGCCACCTTATCGTGCCTGACTACTTCCATCAACGACAAGCTTCATTTCTGGTGGTGGCTTTGTGAGTGTTGGCTTTGGCACCTCTAGTTCTAGCGACTGAAATTTGCATTTACTGCACGCGTACATTTCTGGATTGTTCAGGGATTAATTGTTTGTACATCAGTTTTTTAAGGTGTGACAGCAAAGAGCATTTCATTTGATTTACACTGGCACAGGAACAGAGCAAGTAGGGGGAAAACCCGATTGCGGTGAAGTTAAAATTTTGACTTAGACTTTCTTTTTCACATTGGCTACGTCAACTCTGGCGATGTAAACGGAAACACTCCTAATTATTTGCCTTTTATGACATGCTTGTTAGAACGACAAAGGTCTTTTCTTTTAACCCCCAAAATGGAGCCCTGGAACCCACACAAGTGTTTGTGCTTATAATTATAAACAGTGCTGCCACTCTCTGACCCAGAAAATAAACACATTTTATTGGGAAAATGGGGACATGGATCAAACCTTCACATTATCATGTGAGGTTCTATAAAGGATCTTTTCTCTTTGGTTACAGTTTATCATGATTATATTAGGGTAAAAAAAACACTTTAGGCGTTGCAAGTCTGACTCGTAATTTCAATGTAGGGCGATCGAAACCCACTGCTGGCTGCGTGGATTTTTATTATAGTATGGGACGTCGCAGGTCAACCCAGCCTTAAATGGGTACCAGGATGTATGTTCTGGGAAAGTAAAGATGGCCGGGGTAATGCTGATCACATTACCCACCGAGTGCCTATTGGTCTGTTCAAATATGGCTGCTCTTCCCATATGCCTGATTGGCCTAAGGCATAAAAAGGGATCTTTACTTTACTATAATAACACAGTCACTAGCAAATTTATACATTGCATATTATAACAGGATATATCAGATTTATTAAATTTATTGAACCCATTCTTACCATTCTAATTTTGATCACTTAAATTTATAAAACATGTAATAACAAATGGTACATGAAAGATTTACTTACATAAAAATACTTTCATTTCATTTTGTGTACTTTATTTGCACTTATCTGCATTTGAAAATACTTCTCCACTGATGCCATTTTTCACAGTAATTTAAGATTTTTGGGGAATGAATATTAAAGGAAATTTTGAAGATGTCTCTGAAGTTGAAATTTATAGGCAAAAGTTGGGTCTTTATTTGAATCAGTGCTAAGATAATCTCTTGCCTTGTATAACAGAATCACTATCATTTAAAGTGTTTTGAAAAGTGTCTTATGGGAAAGAACAGTTATCCAAGTTGTTTTGTTGTAAGCACTTGTTGACATTCAGAATACTATTGTCTCTTGAAAATCGCAATATCTAAGTTCTCTCTCTTCTAAAGACCTTAATGTCTAACACAGCTTTATATAAAAAGAAATTTTGAGTATGTTCCCCTGCTATAACCCCCCACCTGCCTACCTGTACCACTTCTTCAGGTGGTCATTTTATGTCTAGTATCTATATTCTGCAAGGACACATGCTTTACAGTGTCTACTGTTCAATCCTGTTATGGAGATTTTGTGATAGATATTATCATAAGATAAGTGAACTTATCTCTTCTTGTTTATAATGGTATCATTGTCTGTTTGTGTTAAATGCTGATGTAACTAGAAAAGACAGGGTCAGAAATGATGATTTCAAGAAAGAAGCTGGGATGGGACCAGTATTAAACTTCATCAAAAGACAACAGAGCAGATGGTTCAGACATGATCAAGACTAGCACCAGATAGTGCATCTCAGAGAGCCCTGTCACTTAGGCATAATTGGAAGTCTTCTTCTTCTTCTTCTTTGCTTTCACCAGCTGTACAATCTGGCAGAAAGTTCTGATTGTTCATCCACTTCTGGACTGCAGCCTTGTTCCAGAACCTGAGTGCTGCGTGTGCATCCATTTTATAGATCTGACTCATTTGTATGCAGACTGCTGGTTCCTTGCCTCTCAGGCAGATGCACTCTGACTTCAAAGAAAGCTCCCAATTAGTCAACTCTTACGACATGCTTTTGGGTAGGCAGTGGGTCTATTCGTGTTTTCCCTATAACAGGGCCCTGAAACCCACACAGGGAATAATGGAAGTAAAACTAGAGGTCGACCATGCAAGCGATGGATAGGTAGAATTTCTGATGCTGCAAATACCAGCATCTATGCAGCACATACCAACGGTACACACCCGATGTTTCATCAAAACCTGATGCTGTAATGCAGAACAGGTTTATATAAGATGAAGAAGTTGGTGAAAACTTTCTAGCTGCAGTGTTCATATTATCATTCATGATTGGGGTAATGTGAAGATAAGTATTTCTACTTCTTGTTTGATAAATACTATTGTTGTTCCGCAGACATGGAAGGGAATACTGCTTCGATACTTTAACCCGGTTGGGGCACACAAATCTGGCAAGATTGGTGAGAACCCTCAGGGTGTCCCAAACAATCTCATGCCCTTCGTTTCCCAAGTTGCTGTTGGCAGGAGAGATTGTCTCACTGTTCATGGAGGAGATTATGATACACCAGATGGCACAGGTAAATCTTTTAATAGAAGCTAGGACTTATTTTCGCCGAATCATTACATTTTTGTTGAATGTTTGATCTAAAAAAATGTTTTATAATCTTCAACCTGTGGATTCTGGAGCCACTTTAGCAAGTGGGAAGAATAGACCCACTGCTTCCCAACAAGCATGTCATAAAAGACAACTAATTATGGGTGTTTCCTTCTAAATCAGAGTCTGTCTGCCTGTGAGATGAGGAACAAACAGTCTGCATACAAATAAGCCAGATTTGTAAAATGGATGTGCATGCAAAACTTAAGTGCTGGAACAAGATCAAAGTCTAGAAGGGGACGAACAACCAGGACTTTCTGGAAGGTTTATAGCCAGTGAATGCAAAGAAAAAGAAGGAGAAAAACAATCTACCTATTACATGTTTAGCAGACTGCATGAGACTGACCTCACTGCCACTCCGTGATGAATGTATCTTTCGGACCAACTCATCCAGTTTCAGCAAAACCTTATTAAGTTGCCTTGTCTGACTTGTCTGTTAGGAAGGCAGTGGATCTGTTCTTTCTTCCTTCTAAATTGGGATCCTGCTTCTTTTTCTTCAAGTTCACTGGCTGTACACTTTGGCGGAAAGTTCTGGGTGTTTGTCCACTTCCAGACTTTAGGCTTGCTCCAGAACATGAGTGTTGCATGTACATCTGTTTCACAGATGTGGATTTTTAATCTGCAGACCCTTAGTTCCTTGTTCCAGGGAGATGTAATCTGACTTTGAAGGATGCTCCCAATTAGTTACCTCCTACGATATGCTTGTTGGGGAGGCGGTGGGTATATTCTTGTTTTCACTACAATGGAGTCCCGAAGACCCGCACAGGGAAAACTAGGATTCAGAGCCCACATAAGGAATGATAGAATTGGGCCAAAATTCACTTGATCCTAACGATTAGAAGAGAATGGGAATAAAATGTCTATAAATGAAATAGTTCAGACATGTTTCAAAACTACCACCAGATAGTGCGCCACAGAGAGCTCTATCCCTTAGACACAATGAAAGCAGAGCTAGAAGTTGAACACACAAGCGATGGATAGATGCAGTATTCAAGGCCGTAAATACCAAGATCTTCTTACAACATATCAAGGCTTGCACTTGATCCCTCTACAAAACTTGATGCTGAAAGGCAGAACAGGACTAGAGAAGAAGAAGAAGAAGAAGAAGAAAAAAAGAAGAAGAAGAAGAAGAAGAAGAAGGAGAAGATCCAGATCAGAATGCTTCTGTTGCTTGTGTAGAATATCCCCTGACAAAAGACACACAAATATTTTATTTCTACTTTGAAAAAGTTTAGGTCGAGCAGCTTTATTTCATTGAACAGGGTTATCCCACATAGCATGGTCTCTTTTCATAGAATGACTAGCTGCCTGACAAAAACATCACACAAAGCAGGAATCCTGTAACCCCAGCAGTGATCCCCAGGGATTTCTGTAAAAACTGCATTAATGAACTGTACAACACGTCTTTAAAATGAACTACTACCTTCAGTGCATAAGACAAACAGCTTGACCAGTTTGTCACAGAGACCTCCCTCCTGCCCACCTGACCCCTCACCCAAATGAAACAGTAATAATCAGCGTCTTTGTTTCTGTTCGAAAAAGGTGCTGTTCTCTGAACTGGAAAAAAGACCTGGCAATGCCATATAATGTTAGCTACTTCATTGGCTGTTGCTCTATACTCCATAGGTATCCGAGACTACATCCATATAGTTGACCTGGCAAAAGGTCATGTGGCTGCTATAAATAAACTGAAGACTGACTGTGGATGTGTGGTAAGCATATGGTTTGCCTCATACAAATCTTCCGTATATTATATTTTTTTAAACTGGGCCATCTTCAAATTAGTTAGCTATAGGAGATATGCGCACCCACTTCTTTTTGAAGAATAATACTAGGTAATGCCCCAATCTCTTCCACGGTTTGATTCTCATACCACTGTTAATACACAAGGAAGAACCATTAGTGATTAGTGAGGACCCTCATGACAGTACTCTGGGCAGATCCACAGGTGCTCTGATCTCCTCCCCAGTAGCTTCACAAGCATCAAATCAGTGCTCATGCCCATTATGTGCTGAGTAGTATTGTACCCTTAGTGTATTCTTCTATTCTCACACTTTAAAATCAGTTGGCACATTGTGCTGTAGTTTACAGAATAGAGAAAACTAAATCACATGATAGAATCACTTAGGATGGCCTCTGAGTGAGAGCTAAATCACATGATAGAATCACTTAGGATGGCCTCTGAGTGAGAGCTAAATCACATGATAGAATCACTTAGGATGGCCTCTGAGTGAGAGCTAAATCACATGATAGAATCACTTAGGATGGCCTCTGAGTGAGAGCTAAATGGCATGATAGAATCACTTAGGATGGCCTCTGAGTGAGAGCTAAATGGCATGATAGAATCACTTAGGATGGCCTCTGAGTGAGAGCTAAATGGCATGATAGAATCACTTAGGATGGCCTTTGAGTGAGAGCTAAATGGCATGATAGAATCACTTAGGATGGCCTCTGAGTGAGAGCTAAATGGCATGATAGAATCACTTAGGATGGCCTCTGAGTGAGAGCTAAATGGCATGATAGAATCACTTAGGATGGCCTCTGAGTGAGAGCTAAATGGCATGATAGAATCACTTAGGATGGCCTCTGAGTGAGAGCTAAATGGCATGATAGAATCACTTAGGATGGCCTCTGAGTGAGAGCTAAATGGCATGATAGAATCACTTAGGATGGCCTCTGAGTGAGAGCTAAATGGCATGATAGAATCACTTAGGATGGCCTCTGAGTGAGAGCTAAATGGCATGATAGAATCACTTAGGATGGCCTCTGAGTGAGAGCTAAATGGCATGATAGAATCACTTAGGATGGCCTCTGAGTGAGAGCTAAATAAATTCTAGTGAATCAAGAGGTGAAGAAGAGATGCTGACAGATAGGACATATGTTGGGAAAACCTGAGAATAATATAATTATTAGGATTTTATGCTGGAACCCACAGGGGCATGGAAATAAAGGCAGACGAAAACAAAAACAAAAACATGAAAAAAAAGGAATAGAGAGTGGATTTTAAAAGATAAGAAGAACACGAGGTGGGCTGCATGCGAAATCAAGTGATAGGATGACTTAGTATTGGTTGGGGGCTTATGCTCCATTGGGGATAAAGGGGCTGAAGAAGGAAGAAAAGAACATAGATTTACCAAAGTGCAGTTATTCTGCTGTAAGCGTGTGAAGACGAATGCCTTGATTTAGTTGATTGTCAAATGCAAAGAAACCTGGCCACTGTATAAAAAGGCCAGCTCACTCAAAACCGAGCTCTTTTTGGCTTCCAGACTGAATCCGCAGATGCTTGAAAGGCAGGAGACCTCGATCAGTCAGGGCGATGCATGATACATGTGTTCAGCAGCACATATTCGAGCAACTGCATGGGGATGAACGGTTAGTCTAGCTCATTGATGATGATAATGGTGGTACGTTTTCTATCTCATTTTATTAATGAAGTGCTTGGTATGTTGGGGATTGTTAATGTTTTGTTATTTGTGAACATCGCTTAGTATTGTCTAATGTTCAGTGAAATAAACAGATGTTGAATGTGGTAATCATAGTTCCAGTTGTTTTGATTTAGAGTTAGGACTGTTATTTATTGGTAAATAGTTTTACTGTTACTGCTATCTAGACTGTATACAAAAGATCGCATGTCTGGGCTAGAATATTTCTGTTTCTGGTCCCCGCCTAATGAACTCTTTTTCTTTTTTTTTTCTTAGTACTTTAGGCCTTTCGCTTCTAGTACACAGCACTAATGTAAATGTTGCCACATATGTTTGCAGGTTTACAATTTGGGCACTGGTATCGGCTGCTCTGTGTTAGACATGGTCAAGGCATTTGAGAAGGCTTCTGGGAAAAAGGTAAAGTTAATTTGTATCAACACTGAATGAATTTACGGAAAAAAAAACATTCAATGGAGTTGTTGAATTATAACACAGCCGCAAGTCGTGGCATGAAAAGATGTCATTACATAAATTCATAAATATTGTTGGAGGTCACAAGATATGAAGAATCATTATCACCTACACTAGTCGACAAGGCATTTCTCCTTCCTCTTCTTTGTCCACAACCACCCATAATTCTCTCGCCCTCATAATGCTTTAAAAACAAAAATGGGTCATTACTCCTTGACAATTGAAAAACACCCAGGAAAAACCACAGGTCAATAATTTTTTAAACATGCATTACACATACATACACACGCACGTGCACACCACATACATACCTACATATATATGTGTGTGTACAGAGAGTTATCGGTAAACTCAAGCATTAAATGGAAAAAAAACTCCCTGTGGCCTAAAACACCAATTTGTATCAGGTGACCCCTGCCATGACCCCATGCCATGACCCCATAGTAAAGGATCCTTTTTATGCTTCTGGCACAGCGAGCATGTGGTACTAGACCTACATGTTTTTATACACCAATGGATGGGCAAAATGGTCGAGATCACACCTGCTGCCTTTCCTTGCCATGACACTGCCTGGTACCCATTTTAGATTGGGTAGATCTCATGTATCCGGGTGAAGATCTCTGGACAATCCACATGGATATGAAGCCACCAGTTAATAATAAGGATGTAGATTGGGCTGATCTGGAAGCCATAGTCAGTTATAAAAAAAGTCCACTTCCGTGAGAATTTTAACCCTAGACCCTTGGGTCAGCAGGTGAGCATCTATCTGCTTAACCGCTATGTTACTGTAACTCCTAGAAATCGTTACAGTAACAAGTAAATACTTGTAGTTGTTTAAATTTAATCTAGACATATTTTGCTGACAAGAATTACTTAATTATTGATCTTAAACAGATTGCATACACGATTGCACCTCGGAGGCCAGGGGATATAGCAACCATTTTTGCAAATGCAGAGAAAGCGGAGAAAGAGCTTGGCTGGAAGGCAAGCATGGGTCTGGATGAGATGTGTAAGTGATAAGTTATGTCAGCTCAATTGATTTCACACCCTGATGTCCAATTTTGGAAAGAATCACATAATTTTTAGTTTTGCAACGTTCATTTCATCATTTCATTACTGCCTCCACCACCTTTTTTTTTTTTTTTTTTGCTATCGGAATTGGAACTCTTTGTTTGCTGCTGAAGATGGGGATGGAGCGCTTATGGGAGTGTCCTGAGTGCTATGATGTTGATTCTTAATTCAACATTTAACATTAATCCACATTTTTTCAGTCAGGTTTATCCTGTGTAAGTATTTGCATTTCTGTCTCATCTATCTATTTTTCAAGTGCTAAGTTGTGTTGAATTGATTCAAGAACCGATATCACAGCTATCAGGGCATTCCCATTAGCACTCCCTGGTCTAAGCTATTGACAAAATGGCTACATTGATCCAAAATCCATCCACAAAATTTCAAAGAGCTGTGATTCCATTTATTACATTTAAAGGATGTCAATCAGTGGACATTCATTGAAAAAATGCAGGTAGCGTACGGTAAAAAATGTGTGCTAAAGACAACAATAACAGACGGCATGAAATTTTAGAAAGAACATGAATAGACACATCTTCTAAGGTCGAGTCAAGAGTCTTTTAACTTAATATATAACTAGTTATATATTATACTTGTGTCAAACAAGTGTATTATATGTGCTTTGTCTAATACATTTGTTGACTTATATGTTTTTCAGTATTTGTTATGTAACATGTTTTAAATAACATTTATATCAAACACGTTTACTTTACATGTTTTATCTCACGTATCCAGGTGAAGATCTCTGGAGATGGCAGTCAAACAATCCATATGGATATGGAGCATCCAGTTAATATCAAGGATGTTGACAAAGTTTATAATTTATTCAGTCAGTTGAAATTGTTTTACAAGGTGGAGAATGCCATATCATGTTTTACAATTCATATTGCATTCTCTCATGGATAAATATCTATTACCTTGTTAACAAAATTTAAAAAAAACAGAAATAATCTAACACCAAGTATTGAATAAACATATTGTTATTTCTAGAGGAAAGTTAGAAATGTGTACACAGTGGAAGGAGTTCAAAAGTGTAAAAATAAATTAAACTTACACTCATTTGTTGAAATATCAGTTATCTGTCTAAAATGTAGACATTAATTAAGCACGAAACCTCAGTTTCAATCATTTAGATATAGAATTTAGCATTTTCTAGAATCAGATTAAACTATCATCTTTATCATAAATTAAAGGAGACTGAGTGGTCTCGAGGTATGGCATCCAGTCCGAGTGATGGAGGTCCCTGGTTCAAGCCCCGGTGAAGGCTAGAATTTTTTCATATGGATGTCTAGTCATTTTCCCCTGGTCTCTGGGTAGTAAGATCGGATGCCCATGTGTATTGTTGAGCATATTAAAAATACCTTGGCAGTTGGAAATCGAAAAAGAGTAGCCTAACGGTGCTGCATAGGCAAAAATGTGGAGTTAAAAATCTATCTAAAGTGTTTCAGGATCCTCGCCGGTGCAACGGTGTTCATGCACTGCGCTGAGATTCTTTGTACTCAAAGTTAGATGTAGAACGGAGCACCTATGGGTTACACCCGTGTGCCATGATGTTGGTCCATTGAAGAAAACCATAAGCCATCATAAGTTGGGGATAAGTTCCAAGAATGTTTGTGTGTTTAGTATGGAAGTTTAGTTCATACAATCTTTGTGTGTGTAGGAACAGTTACATTTAAGTGTGTGTCATACATTCTTTGTGTGTGTGTGGCATGCAAGCTTGGGTCATACAATCATTATGTGTAGGGCATGGAATGAAAGATTTATTTTTTCAATCTGTATGCATGGAAGATTGCTTCATATAGTTTGTGTTAATATAACACATAATAATATGTTCATTCAATCATTGTGAGTATGGCATGGAATAGAAGATTGATTCATATAGCCTTTGTGTGAGAAGTTTGGCATATTTTGTATAGTCTTTAAATATGTAACATGGATTTAAATATATATATAATATATAAATATATAATATATTATTTTGTGTGTGTGTGTGCGTGCGCATGCCTACATGTGTGTGTGTGTGGCGTGGAAGATTGGTTCATACAGTTTTTGTTAATATATCATAGAATAATACCTTCACACAATCTTTGTTTGGGTGTGTGTGTGGCAGGGAATGGAAAACAGGTTTATACAGTCGTTATGTGTGTGAGTGAGTGAGTGTGTGTGTGTGTGTGTGTGTGTGTGTGTGTGTGTGTGTGTGTGTGTGGCATGGAATGGAAAATTGATTGATAGTCTGTATGTGTGGATAGGGGGGGGGGGGGGGGGGGGGGTTCTTGAATATAGGATTGGTTTATACAGTTTTGTGTGTGCAATATGGATTGGAATATTGGTTCCTACAATCATTGTGTGTGTGACATAGATTGAAAGATTGGTTTATACAATCTTGGTGTGGGTGATGTGGACCAACACCTTACCATTTCACATCACATCATCACCTTAACATTTCACATATCAACACCTTACGATTTCATATCAACACCTTACCATTTCACATCACATCAATGCCTTACCATTTCACACATCAACACCTTGCCATTTCACATCAATGCCTTACCATTTCACACATCAACACTTTACCATTTCACATCACATCAACACCTTATCATTTCACAACACATCAACACCTTACCATTTCACATATCATCAATGCCTTACCATTTCACACATCAACACCTTGCCATTTCACATCACATCAATGCATTACCATTTCACACATCAACACCTTACCATTTCACATTAATGCCTTACCATTTCACACATACTTTACCATTTCACATCACATCAACACTTTATCATTTCACATCAACACCTTACCATTTCACATCACATCAACACCTTACCATTTCACATCACATCAATGCATTACCATATCCAGACAAACTTAAAACATTGAGAGGAAGGCATCAAAATGGACTGCAAAAGGATTTATTATTGTAATACATTTTTGATTTACTTATGTAGTTGTACACCCTGAGACTACACAACAAAATTTTTCAGGCAATAAACGGTGCACTCATCTGTTTGTGACTTCATTATTTATACTAATAATACGCCCTGTGTGGGTTCCATGGCCCCATTGTAGGGTGGGAGGGGAAATAAATCCACCCCTCTCAACAAGCATGTCATTAAAGTCGATTATTTAGGAGTGTTTCTTTTGAGGCCATAGTGCATCTTTCTTAGAGATGAGTAACCAATAGTCTGCATATAAATAAGCCAGATCTGTAAAATGGTTGTGCATGCAAAACTCCAGTTCTGGAGCATGACTAATGGGTTCTTTCATAATATCCTACCCCAGATGATGTCACAGGACAGTCCAATATTTTCTAGGGTGGTAAGACTGGGTTTCTTGGCTTTCTGATGCTTTTAATGACCTCAAAATATGTAGAACTGGCCCTAACCCCAACCCACCTAATTCCACGAGAGAGTGCAGCCTAGGTCCCACGATTTCTTGCAGCCTATGTCCCACGACTGCATGCAGCCAATCTTCCACCTCCTGAAACATTAGACTGTTCCGTGACCTGTGGATTTTCCCTGTTTGAAGTAGGATATTAAAAAAGCACCAACTAATGTCTTCAAGTAGATAAAAAACCAGCAATTTCAGCTGGGGTTTACAGCTGGGGAATGTAAAGAATAAGATAACAATAGGTCTCAGACTATATCACAAACATATTGCATGTTTTGTCTTCAATACTGACATACAAATGCTGTACAATCTGTCTAAAATAATACTATAAACACTTCTGTGTATATTGTGTCTAAAATATTGTTGCGAAAATTATGTTTAAAATATGACTACAAACATCCTGGCCCAAAATATTACAACAAACGTTCATTTAACATTGTCTATACAGTATTGATACAAACATTGCTGTGTACAGCCTGTCCATAATGTTATTATAAATATTTTTACTTACAATCAGACTGTTATTGGTACCATCAGAGCTGCAATTCTCCACTGGCTGCTGGTGATGGGGACGCAGCACTTATGGGAATATCCTGAGTGCTATGATGTCAATTTTTACAACTAAATTTAACTGACTAGTTAATTGTGGATCTATTTCACATTCTCTCTCTCTCTCTCTCTATATATATATATATATATATATATATATATATATATATATATATATATATATATATATATATATATATCTGTTTGCTATGACATGCATGTCTCTTACAAAGTATCTTGAGGAATAATCCAGACATTACAAACAAATCCACAAGACCTCATTATTGGTTCACATACGGCAGTACCCTGATTAGTGAAATCCAACAAAGATGCAATAAAGCCAATTAAGTTTTAGGCCAAATGGCACCAATTTTGAAATGCAAGCATGTGAATATAAACGTTCAAAGAACACTGTTTAATCTTATATTCTAAAGAACACTGTGCTATCAATGTCAAACAACGGAAGGCAGAAGGAAAATAGTTACGACAGAAATGAAATGTGTATGTACTATGCTAGGTGTAACGAGGAAGGATCGACTTAGGAACGATGATATCAGGAGGAGAGTCGGCACAAAACCAGTACTGAACTTTACAGGTAGACAACAAATCAAATGGTTTGGCCATGCAACAAGATTGGCATCAGACAGGGCACCACAGAGAGCAATGTTATACATATACACAGGAACAGTTCCAGAGGTCAACCACGCAGAAAATGAATCGCTGAACTACCAAAAACACTGAAAAGTACTTTATTCGAAACAAACAAAAGGACTCGTACCAGACATCTCTTCCTGTCGTGACGCCACCGTGATAATCCGACCCGGCACAAAGATTAAGCTTATGCCAGCTATTCGCGAAGTGCTTAGTGATTCAATCCATTCTTGTCTGAAAAACCCAGCCTAAGTTTTCTTAACCATATTCATTGAGTCAGTAAATAGCCGGCCGTGTTAATACAATTTTTTCAATGTTACCATTGTGAGGATGTTTTCAATCCGCCTCAACCGGGACTTCAAGAACAAGCACTTCAACAACGTCTGTTCTTTTATTATTGTTTCCCCTTCAATGTTTGAGACTACACACTTTCTTTACCTGTTTGAATGTATTATCTGTGTAAATAATGTAAAACACAGATGTCATTAACGTTAAAAAAAACACTTTTATTTTCGGTGAACAATATGGGAAATACGTGGAGGGGCCTAAATGGTACTGGAAAAAACAGGGCGCTTTATTAATATCCTAATTCCAGAGGACGTCACAGGACAGTCGAAAATTTTAGAGGGTAGTAAGACTTGGGTTTCTGATGCTTTTAACGACCCCAAAACATCTAGAACTGGCCCTAACCCCAACCCACCTACGTCCCACGAGAGAGTGCAGCCTGGGTCCCACGAATGGATGCAGCCTAGGTCCCACGACTGTATGCAGCCTATCGACCACCCCCTGAAATATTATACAGTCCTGTCGATTTCCCCGGTTTGCAGTAGGATATTAATAAAGCACCGAAAAAAAGATATGGTGGACTGGTTTGTATTGTATGATAGCCTATAATTCGAATAATGAGAGAATAGGAGGAGGAGAACGATGAGATATGGAGCGGCTGAACAGAAGAATATTTGCGAGAAGCGGGAAACATAAATCAGATGCTGAGGAGAAATAGGAGAATTGTGTTTTATTGACTCTCTAGTTTGTAGTTTAAAAAATCTATTTGATTACCTGGTGAAGACTTTTGCAACGTTAAGATGTATTTTAAACGTCTCCCCCACCCCCGGTCTATGAAATGTCTTCTGACAATGTCTTTTCTTTTGTCCCTTATAAGCCAGTTAGTCTATTTAATACCAGAACTGC